GGGAGGAGAAGAGAGCAAGCCTTGCCCTTCTTCCTCCTCTCGCCAAACAGCTCAAGGAGCATCGTGTAGCTACTTATTCATCTAGTGATCATGCGGAGACCCCGCAGAGCAGCAGTAGGGGTGTTATCTCCACGGAGAGCCCCGAAGCTGGGTAAGATTCGCCGGCGTGCATGTCTTCGCCTCATCCCGTTTCCAGGCACCGGCGATGTCTTATTGGCTCCCACAATGATAAGCCACCCATTGGCATATGTCGCACCTACCACCCGACAAAAGCAATGAGGTGACTAGATATCGAAGGATCAATGGTTGGAATGGAATCCCTTTGAAATCAGCACAAGAAGTGGGAGCTCTGTCTCGGTAAAATGGATATGAACGATGTTTGCTTTGAGAGACAATGGTGGAGTGGGTTGGTGTATATATACGCATGGCCTCAAATCTGACAGTTACACACGTTTAGCACATTTCGCTGAGACTGGGTGACAACACTTGGTCAAACTAGACTGTACAAAAGGTTTGAACTTTGCATCCTTCGATCACTCCGGATGAAACTGATCGGTGGCTCGAGTGGTGCCGACCTAAACACTTTTCATACTTCGGTATCATAGACTAAAAACTGTTCAGAAATTCTGAACGAATTTCAGTAGACAACAGAAGGTTGGAAAGTGCTCATCGGTGAGACCGACAGGTCGACATGGTGAGACCGAAAAGCTAGGGTTTAGGACAAATGCTATATCATGATGGCTCGGTAACTCTGATTGGTTTGTTTTGGTGGGTCCGAGTTGCAATGTTGGGTTTGGATATAGTGGGAACTTGTGAAGTACTATGAGGCTTTTAGAGTTTGATCTTTATAAACACTTGAACAATGAGCTCATCATCTAAATCTCATCCCCTTTTGATAGTATTGGCATACCTATGTATTGAATGTGATCTTTCATCACTTAAATATAAATGGAGAGTCTTGAGGCTTGATCCAACACTTTATCCTTAGCAATTTGAGGGGTCCATTTTCACATCCCATCGTTGTACCTTAATTTAACTTTTCTGAAATATTCTTTTGAACATCATTAGTTTAATGAGATAATGTTGTTATGAATTACCAAAACCACCAGTGGATTAGTTGCACTTTCACGTTGCCAATTCCCTCAAGACCGTCATTGCCAATGAAGATGAAGGTGATCATATCCAACTGTTTCAACAAATGAAGGGTTTGCTCTGGCCACCCATGTGCCTAGGGACCGGGGGAGGAAGTGGAAGGTGGAGAAAGAGAAGCGAGAAGGTGCGGCGACGAAGATGACAGAGAAGTCGGAGGACATCATGTGCCAAGAAGGTGAGGCATGTGTCAATGCTGTGTGACCAAGGAGGAAAAGAAGGCGGAGAGTTTTGACATGTTCATGGACATGCAAAAAAAGAAACTCAAGCTTGTGGAGAAAAAGATTGCGACAAAGGCCGCTTTTGAGTAGTCCAAGATGTTCATGAAGGTGGCGGATCTCGATGCGGTGAAGTATGCTCAAGATTGTCATGCTACAATGTTGAAGCATTTTACGCAAATGGAGGCCGAAATTGAGGCCTTTGGCATGGGTAACCAGACCGTGAGCTTATGGAGTCGATGATGTAAAATCTCATTGAACATCCGGTGCTTTTGTTTGTGATTGCATATGTTTACAACTATTTAAATGCATGATTAATTTTCCATTGTTCTGGATACCCATGTCAAAAGGAAGGTGGACGGTCCATAGGCGAACACTTGGTGACTTTGGTTGCATGACCTCCCCACCCGGTTGTCCGCGGACATTTGATGATCTGCGTTGGAGTTGCCGTTAGTCCATTAAAGTAGGGAAGATGCCTCCTTTGTAAAAAAGATATATGAAAGATCATACGCCCAACATTTATCCATTCTTTCCGGGCACATTCTTTATCTCGATCGGATCCCTGCAACAATTTTTCATCCAACCGACTTGGGCACTCGGCCACTTCCTCAATGGGACCTTGATCAACTGCATTTCCAAATCTACAATCCCTTACTTTAGGGTGTGTTTGGTTCGGGTCACCAGGTGGAATGTAATGGGGTTGTTCCACATCCAAGGGTCGTTGTCGTGTTTGATTGGTTCGAGGAGCCGAAACCCACTCGTTCCTTGGAATGAAATATTCTCCATAGACCCGGAATGTGATCATACCTCCAAATCAGAGGGACCATGCGAAACACCTTACGTTCCTCACTTTCTACCGCTCGACCAAGCCACACTCCAGCCGCCATCCTTCCATCGTCTTTCACCGCCGACACACTCATGTCCCTCGTCTTCCCCCTCGTCCAAGGATCTGACGAGAGGAGGGAGAAGGAGGTGAGAGCTAGCGTGATCCTAGGGGTTGGACAAAGAAGGAGACAAGCACTAACAAGATAGCAACTAGTAGCGGTGGCAACTCATGATGATAGGCATGGTGTAGCGAGAGGGCAGCTTGTGGCGCAAGGCTAGGGTCGAAGGAAAAGCTCACGCAAAAGAAAGGCAAGGCGGCGTCTCGTTGGGGAAGAGATGTAGCGCAACAGAAGGGGCAACACTGTGACTATTAGGTGGCGACAGATTTGGCTAAGGGCGAGGAAGCAAGGAAGCCGACGCAGACCGCGAGATTCTTCGCGTGTCGAGCGTTGTGTGAATTCACCAAATTCTGCTACAGTTTTGACGAAGCATGGCTAAGAATCATGCAAGAAGGAGGCTTGATGCTGACGGCGCTCCTCTAAAGCCTCGAGGCCACGAATCCTGTCATGGATATGCATGGATCTGGCCACAAAGTGATATACTCTGATTCCGAGCAATTTTTTGTGATTTTTGTTTGGCTGAAATCCTATTCAATGGTTATGGATATGTTTGCGGTTGATAATTTTCCTTCTTCTACAAAATAATCTCATCTTTCCTACATAAAAAATGCGAAATGAACAAAAGGTAACCATTTCATTTCTCCAAATTACCCCTACCAAACAGAAACTAGAACCGACCCATTCGTTCCCGAACCGAACACTGTATCTCAGTCCCCCTACCGTCCCGCCGATATGCACGACACAGGCCTCTCCGCCCGCACTGCCGGTGCCTCCTCGTCGTCACCGGCCACCAACGCCGGCGACGACGTCGACGAGTCCAAGACCCGGAAGGCGCAGCCCGCCTTCGTCGCCGCGGCCTACGCCCGGCTCCACTCCCCTTACTATGCGGCCGCCTCCCTTCTCCTCCTCGCCCTCGCCGCCGCTGCCTTCCTCGCCGGCCGAGCTTTCCCCCGGACCGACTGCCCGCCGCTGCGCCTCGACGCGCGCTTCCTCTCCCTCCCTGACGCCGCCGCGGCCTCCGACTTCGGATCCCTCGGCGTCCCCTCGTGTAAGCCCTCGCGCCTCTCTTGTTTCCATGCGAGATAGATCCAGTTCCCTTTTTGTTGGAGTAGTCCGGTCGCGCTCTTGCCAGCTACTCCTTCGAACGATTTAGTCGACTATATGATGTCCATGTCCATATCATTCCAGCTTCGAACCATTAGTTTCGACTATTTTGGGACGGAGTGAGTAATAAATTCCTACTTGGAACGATTATATGATGTCCATGTCAGGTGTAAACCCGTAGTTTGCCATTGTCCGTGTTTGATGGCAACTTGTCGCTTTTTTTATGTCAACCTTATTCCTACTGCTGTATGCTTGTGGATATAGCTATTTAGTTAAGAGTGACAGTGAAGTGTGGGTTAGCTTTGTTCTTGGTACATTGCAGATTCACCTGAAATTTTGAGTGGTAGTATTATACAAATTGCTCAATACTTTACTCCGGGAATGGCTAACTTATTAGTTCTATAATTTTGTATTCAGTCATCCCTATAAGGTGCAGAAGTGTCGACTGTACACATTTGTCCTATAGAGGACCATCATTCCACTAGTTCTATAGAAGAGCAAGCACGGAATCATGATCAACTGTAGTTCTATTTGTTTGTGTTCCTACAACTGTAGCCCAATAAGATCATCTTAGCTGTCACCAGTGAGTGGGTGTTTAAGTTGGTACCTGCTGTATAAGTTGTTAATAGTGGGAACGATTATGTTTCTCTATGAGTTGATAGGTATTTTTGGTAAGGTGTGGTTATTGTTTCATGAACTTCTTCACACCTGCATAATTTATTCAAATAATAAATGCATTATACAGAACATCATTATTCATTAGACTACCTTATACCTTTTCTGCACAAAAGGCAGATCCAAAACTGGGAGGACAGTGGAGTGGACTTCGAAAGATTTACTTAATGGTCTGGAAGAATTTGTGCCAATCTATCAGACACGCCCTATCAAGAATAACATGCATGGAATGAGATTTGACCACAGTTTTGGTCTTTGGTTTATGGCTCGATGGCTTAAGCCAAACCTGATGATTGAGAGTGGCGCATTCAAGGGGCACTCAACTTGGGTTTTGCGTCAGGCCATGCCAAACACTAGGATTATATCTCTCACACCCAGACACCCTGAGAAATATCTTAAGAAGGGACCTGCGTATGTTGATGGAAACTGCACTTATCTGGCTGGGAAGGATTTTATTGACTTTGGAAGTGTCGATTGGGAAAAACTGTTGAGGAAGCATGGCATTTCTGATCCCAGCAAGGTGCTTGTTTTCTTTGATGACCACCAAAGTGAGCTGAAGAGGTAAATTCTTCCTGTAGAATTTTTCTGCTGATGTTGATTTTTTTTGCTGATACTACTATATCCTATCCGTAATGTTTTCTACCTGCTCTGTTCTTGTGAGCAAAATCCTTAGAATTAGCTCACAAACAAGGCCCACATGTCCAGCTTTAATTTATACTCCCTCTGTCCCAAAATAAGTGACTCAACTTTGTATTAAAGTTAGTACAAAGTTGAGTCACTTATTTTGGGACGGAGGGAGTATATCACATCGTATTGTTTTGTAGCATCATAGCAGCACTATTTGTATATTCTTGATTTTTATCTGCGTATCAATTCGAATTTACAATTAGTCCATGACCTATTATGTGCAGGTTAAAGCAGGCACACAAAGCTGGATTCCGGCATCTCATATTTGAGGACAACTATGACACTGGTACAGGCGACCATTATTCCTTGAGACAGATATGTGATCAATCACACATCAGAGGTGTGTAAGTGTGACCTCGCCACATTTGTACTCCCTCCGTTCGAAATTACTTGTCTCGAAAATGGATGTATCTAGACATATTTTAAGTCTAGATACATCCATTTTCGAGACAAGTAATTCCGAACGGAGGGAGTACATTCTAAGTCCTCATTATGTATCAAATGTTGCATGTACCTTTGTTACTTGAATCGAGATGATTATATTGTTAACATCACTTGCGTAGCATAAACTTGTCTTCATAATATGACCTCACTTTAGATTAGGTAATTAGTTACTTCTATTTTAATTGCTAGTACTTGTTAGCTACTTGATCTTCTGCTTTGAGTGATATACATTAGTATCACACACATAAGATATAATTTCCTACCTACCACTCTTTTTTTATGGTAAAAGCTTTGGACATGATTACCATTTTTGTGTGCCAGTGATTATTGTTTTTCCACTTTTAACAATCTTTTCTTATCAAATGCATTTATGATATTGGCTATAGTTGGTTTTCATGTTTTTTAAAGTCTTTTCTTACTGAGGCATATATGGTGTTTGAAACTATTTCATGTGTCTTCTGCAATATGTTGTCCGGTCTTCATCATCGTTAAGAATTCCTGTCTATTTCTTATAATCATACAATTATAAATGGTATCATCATGCTGCATTTCAAGTAGATAATAGCAACCTAAATATGATGCTCTCCAACTTAAGAGGTGCTTAGAAAAATTCCTGTCTATTTCTTATAATCATACAATTACAAATGGTATCATCATGCTGGATTTTGACTAGAGAATAGTAACCTAAATAAGATGCTCTCCAACGTAAGAGGTGCTTAGAAGTGATAGACATTCTTAAGCACATCTATGAAGCTAACCATCACTTCTTATGCATGGTTACATGCTCTGACATTCACAAGAGCCCGTACATGGTTAACTATGCATTGATGTTTAATTAGCATGCTCAACGACGAGGTGCAGCAGTGGCGTGCGCCTAGCACAAGACGGTTGCTTGAACCTCTACGAGTTAGCTAAGTAGAGTGCTTGAGTCTCTGGTGCATTCCTGTTTGGCAATCTATTGTGTACAAGGGAGAGGCTCTTGCCCGTGAGGCAAGATAGAAGAACTGTTCTTCTAATTATTGGTTGCTTTATTCCTCATAGGGGGTCTGTTTACATAGAGTCCTAACGATCCAGTTTGACAAAACAGCGTGGATCTTAACCTTAATTGGTTCAAGTCCCAAGTTAAAAGATACCTCCTCCGTCCTGAATTACTTGTCTCAGAAATGGATAGAAAGGGATGTATCTAGAACTAAAATACATCTAGATACATCCATTTCTACGAAAAGTAATTCCGGACGGAGGGAATATATCCTAATTTAAATGATAAATTCCTAACTGAGAGATCACGGATGAGGATCCTCTCCGTAACTTGGTGCTTAGTGGGCCATGTGCTAGACATACATAACATGACACCCCTTTTCGATATACATAACATGACACCCCTTCTCGACATACACAACATCACGGATGGGGGCGGCCATGGTTTATAAGCCCAAGGATGTCCCAAACTGAAGAAAACACATGATGTTGCTCCACCTCGTGACATGGAACAAGTTGTAAGGCTTTGGCCCTCCACTTGAAGTGGAGGCCCTCCTTTCCTAGGGAGATGGCAACGGCTTGATCCGGTCCAGCACAAACCACCTAGTTGCTGGAAGATGTTGAAACTCTACTATCCCAAGAAACCGGCGGCAATAGAAGTTCTGTGGCAAGAGAATGGGCATAGATCAAAACGAGGACACAAAAATCCTATAAAAACAAGGACTAGAAAAGGCCACAAAAGTTGTATAGAAAGGACCAGGACCAGAAAAAGAGGCTGATGGATTAAGGTATGGTGGACTCGCATGGCATGAGAAAAACGAAAGAGCAACAGATTTGGTGGACGCAGCGGAAAATATAGAGCTATAAGCTAGGAAGCACACATGAGACAAAGATGCAAGAGCCAGTATATGAATGAGAGGCTGCAGAGGAGGCCGTGTAATTGGAAAGCCTTACACTTGACTTTGATTTAGAACCCAACTAGGATTCAGACTCTAACACGTACTGAATTAACCTAT